CGATTTGATAAAAAATTCAGAAAGAACAAAATACATTTATTTAACGAAGTTTGACTAATAACACTTACAAATCGAATATTTAATAATTAACTATTATTAAAAATTCTCAAAATGTCATAGGTTTATTTGGTAACTACAACTGTAAAAAAAAAACTAAAAAAATGATAACTTTGGACACATCACTGTTATAACTGCATAATATGATTGGGTCATGTTTTATACTATATTATAAATTATAATATCAAACAAGGAACAGTAMTGGTATATCTTTATTTCCAAGAAACAGCAATAAATGAAATGAATTTTACATTTAAGGGTGAAAATTATAAAAATAGTAAAATTGTTCAAACAAAAATTAATTGTTTATTTATTTGACTAACATATTTGAATATGTTAAACCATTTTATTTTATTATTTTTTCAAACTGTGTTGTAAGTAACTATGTTAATCGAAATTTAATTTTTTTTTTCCAATTATATTTAATTTAAAAAAAAAAATTACTAAGTCCAGTTGCGATGMTTTTAGATTCTAAAAACAACTATAGGTACCTAGGGACTAGCCGAAAAAGGGCCGTCTTTGAGTGGGATAGAAGAACCACTCAGCCACTCAGGCTGTAGTTATAGCTAAAACTCCAAATGTATGTAAAATATAGTTGAGAATATTATCTGTGAATTATCGTTTTTATTGTTAATATCACTTATACGAAAAAAATGTCTTATTGTTTCAAAATCCATAATTATTTTTGTTTTTCAAAATTGAATAACTCTTTTTAGTCTCGATATCGAAAAATAAAAACGATATTTCCCAGMCAAAGTTCTCTTTTTTTTGTGGTGAACATTTAATTGTTGTTTCCTTCTTATGACATTTTAGWCTTCTCGGTTACTTCCMACGAAAACAGTTTTTGCAATGTATTAAATTTGTAAGGCGGAGACAACACAATATGCCAGTGTATCATCCTCTTAAAGAAATGACAGGGATAACTGATAGTAATAATAATGGACATAACATAATATTATGTCATCCGTAAATAATATATATATCCTATATTCGCATGCCTTTAGTGTGCAGTGTTTTCGTGCTTTGTGACGCACTTACTGTTGTGGTGGATGTGAACTATACAATTTTCCATCAATAAGTATTATGTCTATGCATATCACGCAAATAATTTTAATGGTTTATCCCGCGAAAAGAGAGAAAATGGCATCCTACTAATGTGGGACATATTTTTTCAGACCGACCCAATACGTGTTCCATTTAATATGATATTCATTTCAGTGATTTAAACGTATTTTTAGTTAACTTATATCACGTCACAAAAGCGTGATACTAAGAAATTCTGATAATAATATTCCGTCTCATGTAATCGCTCAGACCTCAGTATAAACTTAATATTATACAATATAAATAATGATTTTTTCTAGAATGTTGAATAACCAATAATACGTGTGCAACAAAAATTATGACCGTTATAAAAGTAAATATTTTTACACAGTTATCATATAACACTATTTATATTTTAAACTGTCATAAAATTATTTTAGAGCTCCGCATAGTTGATTAGTTCTAATAAATCTAACCTTTACTAGTTTTTAGTATATCTAGGAATATAATCAGGCAAGGGGCTGGGGTTATAACCTCCGTCCCGAAATCTTGACTTTTCGCCTAGTATTTTGCTGCCAGCATGTTATCTCATCTGTATGACTGTATTATTGACTGTACATAATTATTATTTATTGAAACAATGTAACTCCCTCCAACTAAATTATTTTCTTCCACTACCATTGAGTATATATATATATATATAGATGAATAATAATAATAATAATGAATATTTATTTAACAGTTTTGAAATTATTTATAAAATATTAATATTTTAGAGTTACATTACAACGTCTATCACTAAAGATGTTTCCTTGTTTTGATAAACGTGAGTCTCAAAGAGAAAAAAATGTTTATATATTAATAATGCTAAGTATTAAGTGCTATGTCGCTATGATAACAGAAATAAATAGCGTGTTAATGATTAAATATAAAATAATATAAATGTTGAGTAAAAGAAAAAAAAGATAACAGAAGTTTGTTTAAGTTATCCTAAGAATTTACTTCGTTATAGTCAATAACCATGTCTTTATTAATAACTTAAAAATATCAAATGTTTGAGAATTTTTTATAGTCTGGTTATTTTTGAATATTTTTGTTGGTAAGTTTTTGAGTTGGTAGGTTTGTAACAAGTGTTTGTGTATGTGTGGCAAGAAARATATGTTGATAAAAATCCTGGGACCTAGCAACTGCGGCCGGTACGTACGCTCAGTGAGTTTCCATAGATGGAGCATATCACCACGCCTCACCAAGTCACAAAATGATATATTAATTGTGAAACGCCAATGGGTGTCTTTTTTCGTTGAACTGTCAACTCAGCTAATACCTGTAAGGTACGATTCGGACGAACCGTGCATTTTGTGTACTTATTTAAAAATTAAAAACGATGAAAACAAAACAATATATATCACAAGATAAGAGTTATCTACAACCGTCAACCKTAGGCTAAACACCTGCTAGCTGACGAATCCTTATTCTTAATAAAAATAAATAAATAAATAAGAGTGTGATTGTGTAATATATTAATATGTCACATATGTATACATCTTGGTCGAACCTATAATACTACATTATAGACTCGTAGTCGTGAAGTGCATCCGACCAGCATGGGGTTGCATAATAATATATACAATTATAAAGCTTTTGAATGGCATCTGTAATATGACATACTATGGTATAATAATAATATTGAATTCAGTGTATTATTATATGATGTCCATTACGGTATGAGTACAGTGGTTCTCAAACCACGGATTGTGACCCCGAGGATGTGCATGTTTCTATATATATAACATTCAGAAAAATTTAATATTCAAATCATTTTCTCGTGAACCACAAACCAATTTTTTTTCTTTCTATRTTCTAAAGTTTCGGCCAATACCACAACATGGTGTTTTATGTTTAACATAAATTATACATTCATATACCTTCATATAATAATGAGAATTGGCGAGCTGAGAAGAAAGACATATTARGTATATTATGATATGATGTAACTCCCACCGTTTCTGTAAATCATGACAGCAGTGGGTCTACTTCAAGACGTGAAACTAATATGCTTCTACAAAAATAATTTGAGAACCTCTGTACCCGTGCATGATTACGTCACGATGGGATCTAATGTCTCAGACCACCGAACGCGATACGTCCGGCGGTGATATCGTATTATTATTATTATTACCGATTGGAACCCTTTGTGGCTTCGCGGCAACTTCATAACAAAAATATACGACGTATCGTGAATTCCGACATAACATTATGCCCACAATGTGCCACTGAGTGTGCCGTCCGTTTCACAGTCCTAGTCCGATTCCGAAACTGAACTAGTTCCGAGTYTGATTTCTAGTCTGAGTGACGATAAAAAACGATAATACAAAATAAAATAAAACCCCCGAAATGCGTGGACTGCAACTYTTATCCAAAACGATCAGACCGGCGATGGCGTTGCACCGGCACAGCAGCAGCAGCTCGTCCAAGGCGGCGAATTTCGATCTCGGCGGAGTGTTCGTGCCCATACCCACTCCTTACAGGGCAAACGGAGACATCGACTACGGAGCGTTGGCGTTCAATTTCGAGCGATGGGAAAAAATACCATTCAGAGGTGACAACATAATATATTTTATTATTATTATTATTTTTTTATCAAACAATGTCCGCGGCAGCTATGGCCATTAGACTGACATTATATCTACGTTAATTAATACGACTACTATACATTATTGGATAATTATTGTACATTATGATACGATATGCTATTGAAAGATACATGATAAAGATAGACAGATACTTAGATTTTACTTAGATTTTAGGTTAAGGCGTATCGCAGCTAAAACAGACTGGAGGATCTTCTCTCTTCACGAGGTGTTGGTGGGTGATGTGGGAGTGCCCTATCTTAAGACGGGTGATGGTATAATCTCCTGTTCCCTGATGATGTTTTCGATGAAAAATCATGTTATTATTATTATTATTATTATATTAACTGTATATCAAAGATATTATACTATTGTCGAAAATCGTTAAGAGCAAAATCATGATTTAAATTCAAAATTCAAGTTCTTTGTAATAAACGATCGTCACGTGAAATAATTGCTGTTCAGCGGTGGAACGGGACATGGCGATTGTTGTGATGATCAGATTCCGAATTAAAGATGAAATTCCCATTTGTTTTTTTTTTTCGTTTTTTAATCGTCACTCAATATTATAATATTACCACGACGTTCACATCACTCGATGCTCTGGTTAAAATATCACGGATAATTTAAGATTTTACTAAATACAAATATTCGTTGTCACGTGGTTATACAATTATTGTAATAACCAAAAATTGAGTTTGATGGCGTTTTTTGGAATCAAGTGTGGRGTCAGTATCTGTTCGCTGTGGTATCGTTTTAGATTCTCAGCGGAGTGATGAATGTATTGATCATATTATACAATGTTATGTGTCTGTGTATACGATAAGTAATCGAAATAATGCTTCGATTATCCACTTCAATAACTTTTTAGTGGAAAAATATATATATAGTTATAGTGTATTTGAGGGATGAAAATTCTATGAAGTTTTCAAAAAAATTAAGATTAAACGGGATTTTTTATGCAAGACCAGTTTTCAACAAATTTGATTTTGGTTTTTTTTGTAAATCAACTAAATTCATCAAAATTTAAATTCAAAATATTATAAGTTATTTTGTAGTCAAAAATAATAACAAAGGGTTGAAAATTTTAAAAAAGTTTGCTCATAGACAGTTCATACATTTATTAAACTAAAAAACCTAAATCTATATTGTATTATTAATAGTAAAATAAATTACTTTAAAAATAGCATTAATATTATAAAATATACTTAGTAATATATAATATTATATACTTTTATATAAATATAATATATATTAAATTTACAGAYCGTCTTAGACTTAAATCGTGTTTTGTAGGTATAAAATTATTATATTATATCGTTGAATTCAAACTTAACACTCCCATTAAAGTGACCCACTCAACACCTACTTACATCTGTATAGAGCACACACTGCACATCAACTACTAGATGCTACTTACATCTGCACTTTGCTATAGAGTGGTAAATCAGTCGGTACCACTTTGCCCATTTTTTTTATGTTTATAAATTATAACGTGTTTATTTAGATTGAAATTATTTTAAAGGTGATATGGTTGAGTAGTTTATCATAYCTTATTGGCGATTATAGTCACATGTTGAATATTTTACTAGATAATATGAGTGTGGATACTTGAATATTATAATCCTCATGCGTAATTGTTTAATTCATAACAATTACATATGCGATATGATTAATAAATAATAACAATCATATTATTATTATTATTATTATTTATTATCTAAGCGACTTCGTCATACGTTTACGTGTGTGAAGAATTAGTTCCGTTAAGATTATGACACTAGAAGTGAAGTGTATTTACTTAAAATAAATATAAAATATTTTAATACATTCAATTGAAAGTATACATGTATGTATATATATATTATGTATAATTCATTAAATTTTAGTAAATTAATACTCACGAATAAAGATATTTATATATAGACTCATTTTTTWAAAGTTTACATTAAACGTTTCATTATGGTTTCACTATTTTCATCTTATTTCAAAGCAAAATACTATCAAGTAAAACTATAAGTCTATAATACAATAAATAGTGCGTAAAATATATAAAATAAACACAGAAACTTTATAAGCATGAATTAAATATTTCTACATGTTGTGTAACAATAATATTATAGGTATATGTAATTCATATTAATTTTAATTAAATTGACAAACAATATTGTACAACATACAAAAACCATTTCCTTTTTGTCCAACTTGATTCTACACCATTAATAAGAAAGATAAAAGTTTTGTTTATAACAATACCAAATTACAAACCTTATTTCATAATAAATTAATARTGCATTATCATATTGTGATGGTTTTAACATTTTTAATTGTTGGTGATTTTAATAGCACTATATTAGCTTAACCTCAATTAAAAAATTAATTGAAAATGTAAAATTTTTTTTTTAATAAACCTCGCGTTTTTTATAATTATTTTTAACTGTTTTTGAGGGAAAAAAATTGTAACTAAGATATTGTAACCTAATATTGAAATTGAATTTTCGGTCATGTAAAAACTGAGTACCTATAAAGTGTTATTTTTTCAGGTTACTGTGTGGGTGGATCTAATGGTGAAGGACCATATTTAAAAGCYGAAGAAAAAATAGAAATGGTGTCTAAAATTCGATCTATGATTGGAAAAGAAAAATTACTGATAGCGGGGACAACATGTGAATGTGAGATGAAAAAATACATATCATATATAATATAATATTTTATAGCGAATCTCGTTCAACCGACGAATACTATTGGTCAGATGATTATGATTTTAGTCCTTGCGTGTCAATTATAAAATATAATCGAAATCAATTCCTAAACAAAGAATGTATTATTATTCGACTAATTTATTTTAAAGCATTACATAAAATGTCATGTTTGCATCACATGCATGATAATAGATGAGTAGCTATATACAAACATATTATATGTATATACTTTAGTTATAGATGCAAAATAAAAATAGAAAGGTATACAATAGTATTATTTTTTTTTATTTTATTTAAATAAATAAGCCAAGGCGTCTGTGGCTATTGGCATACAATATATAACAAGGGTGGCCACTAACCTTAACTTTGGGAGCCGCAAATTTATAAAGTTAATTCGAGGTGAGCCATACATTGTAAAACAATGTTTATAAATTAAAGATGCATTTTTCATTTTAAAACAAATGAAGGAACATTTATTTACTTTKATATTTTAGTCTAAGTTTGGTTCAAGAGCCTGACGAAATTGATTTAAGATTTAATTGATTCGTTGTGGCCACCYCTATATATAACATTATGATGTATACCTTCATGAGTATTTCAGTCTATTACTTAATTCAGTAGGTATTTCCAAAATAAAATCATACACGTGCACATATTCAAAATAAAACAATTAATTATTAATGAATATTAAATATTCAATTATGTTTAAATGGTTGTAATTATATAGCGACTAAGCTGACGTGCGACCTTAGTAAAGCCGCGGCTGAAGTTGGAGCAGACGGAGTTTTGGTGATGAGTCCTTTCTATTTCAAAACCAGAATGACGGTAGGTAAAATTACACATAATTACATACCTTTTTTTTTACCAAAAAAAAAAACCCCCGGACTTGGTGGGAACTGTTTATCGCAATTCTGCCACCCATAACGTTTATTCACCAACTTGGAAGCTATACATACGTTTGGGCCCTTAACCACCCTGAAAAACTAGCCTTCGGTCCACAGAACTACTTCATATTTACCATAACCGTACACCTCTCTCTTTTCCTACTGTCTCGCTCAACAGCCTCTTTCTGCCGGAGAATCGTTTCCACCATCCTACAGAACGTAAACATTTGCTTCTCGGCCGACGCATCGATCTGATGTCTCTTCGACGTGTCATCAGSGAGCAGCTCCTGTTGCACTGGATGCACTGTTCCATATTGAGCCGTATGCTCTACTGTGTTCTCCAGCTACTCGCAGTGGTTACAGAGGGGATCATTCGCCCACTTCCTTCTCCACAAATAGTGCTGGTAGCACCCATATCCTGATTTATCGTGAATCTTGAAAGATTGAGCCCCAATTTCGTATATTTGATTAATATGAATATGTTAGAAGTAGAACCGGTAATTTTCATATTGTGCACATACATAATATATGGCGTTTTAAAGTTTAGGAAGAAGCCAAGTTTGGGACATKTTATCCATAACATATATAATGAATAGTGGCAGCGAGGGTKGACGAGGATAAACGTGATGAATCATCCTGTACATTATACCTAAGTAGGAACCTACTTGGTCATTTACAACAACAAAAAAWWAAATAAAAATAATAGTAGGTGTGATTTATTCTTATTTATTATCAATATTAACTAACAATAAAAGAAGTACAACTGTACAACTCAGTCATGATAATTTTTCTCCTTCCGTGGTAATATCATAAAATTTTACCGAAAAGTACTAAATTTTTCATTTTACGTTATAGCTTACAAGTACATTTATATAATATTCATTTAACACAATTTCATAGAATTTATTATTTTAAACCAACAATATTGTAAATTTGTAKGTATAAAAAATAATAATATACAKTATGTAACAGTTCTATTTGACTAATGATGGTGGTATACATCACGCAGTCATGTTAAATAATGATWAAATATATGTATTTATTATTGATCACCTACTTCTTAAGGATAACAAAACACTGATAAGCAAGAAATAAATTTAAAGCCAAAACTGTTTTTAAATGCTTATTTTTAAAATAGCCATCTTAGGTTATAAGAAAAAAATGTAATACAAATTTTAAATTCTTTAATTTTAGTTGTAAAAAAATAAAATATAATATAATTTATAAAAACTATAGCGTATAGTTAGAAATCATTAAAAAAAAACTTAAAAATATTGAATTCGTCTATCATTGCACAAAGGTTATTAATAGATGACCGGTATTAAACAGTATTAAGGAAATAATGTTCTGGGTGATTATTAATTAGCCACTTCCATTTTTTTACACATAATCCATCGATTTAGGTTCAATCAAAATGTTATAAAATAAAAATAAAAAATATAGTCTCGAGGTAAAATCGTTTATTATTAATGCAATAGATTTCAATCGGGTATAATTATAMCGAAATAAAATTGTATTTTTATTCAACCATTATTAATAATATTGCTATTGATACAATAATATGAGTATATTATAAAAACAGCTTTGAATTCGTTCAACCTTTTTTTTTTTTTAGTAACAACAACCGTATCTAATCGATTATATTTGAATGCCATTCGATAAATACTCCAACGAGATTGTTGTTCGAGTCAATAATCATTGTCTTTGTACCTATATGATAACATTCTCAGTTTGTATCACTACTATTTAAAGCATCTAAAGGTATGTTAATTTTAATTGGTCTAATAGTTTATGTAAAAGTGTAATAATCAATACTAAACTTTCTAAGTATTCCATGACTTTTTAAATTTCGGAGAAGAGGAAAATTTCAATGATCCTTAAATGGTTGTACAACTTATTAAAATAATGTAAATTTTACTTTACTTTGTTGGATATAACATAAAATCTCTACAACTGATGGATATATATATAATATATATAATATATATATAAATTAATAATATAGAAAATAATATATAATAATCTGTGTGTACTGTGAGTTGTATTGTATATACAAATTTTAAATAACTTGTTTTTTATGAATTTAAATATGNCCTCCCAAGATATCCGATATAACAAAAAAACTTTCAGGAGGACTCTTTGTACGAGCATTTCGCATCGGTGGCCGACTCGTGTCCTGTTCCGGTCATAGTGTACAACATGGTGCCCGTGACCGRTATCGACCTCAGCGTCGAAGTACTGAAGAAAATGTCCGRACATCCGAACATMGTTGGCGTTAAGGATAAAGACGTAAGGCGCCAGGCTGTTTGAATAAATGGAAATGAGGATACAACGCGCTTTAGTTATAGATTTTGTTTTTGTTTTTGTTTTTGTTTCCGACTTAGATGGGAAAACTCGCAGCGCTGGTCAACGAAACGCGAGACCAGAGATTTCAAATCGTTGCCGGGTCGGCGAGTTATTTACTGGCCGCCATGCTTGTCGGTAAATCGTGCGCGACTTATATTTAAATATTCTAACGAAGTCTGCCGTCCCTTTGAGATGAATTTGTTGAGCTTGAATCATTTTTATCTATTTTTTTTTTGCTATATTAAAAAATAACCCACTACTTGTCTTATTATTATTATTTAATTGTATGTATACTATGTAATACTGAGATCATTTTTTTTGAAAATTTTTTATTTAATTTGTGACCTTTTTTTACTTCAAGGATGCTCAGGTGGAATAAACGGCCTGGCCGCTGTGCTCGGCGAACCGTTGTGCAAGATGCACGAACTGGCTGTGGCTGGTCGATGGCACGAGGCTTTGGAATTGCAAAGGAAACTCGTCAATATCGATTTGCTGGTAAGTCGTTTGGACGATTATTTATTATTAAATGGTTTATAAACCACTTGTGGGTTACGGACAGTATAATATAAATGAAGTTTGAATTTCTACCGTGGTATATCACTACGATTTACGACAGAATAATTACATCCAGAGCATATTTTAAATAATGTTTAYAGGGTGGCACTTTTGTTGAAAAATTTTACTAGAGGAATACAAGTATAAGTTAAATCAATTTTCAGACCCAATTCTTTTTTCCCACTGAGGGGGGGCACTAGTGCGACGTACTTTGTATGTTAAAATATGCTCTGATTACATCTATAACGCAATAGCTAGGTATTTATTATACTGCAGATCAGACTTATTATTGCGGTTGATCGGTTTATTGGTATCGATCGCAATAATAATATTGAACACAATTATATGAATCGTAAATAAACTGACGGGCTGCTCGTTTTTAACAACTGTGTTTATTTTGCAGCTGATGCAAGAATGTGGACCAGCCGGTCTCAAAGCAGCGATGGAACTGTTGGGCTACAGAGGAGGCTTGTGTCGATCTCCGTTGCCACCGATTAGCACCGAGAAAGTTGGGAAAATCAAACGGACACTGGAAAATGATGGGTTTTTGTGATGAGACAAAACAAAAACAAACGAACAATTTACACAGATTCATATATTATTATATATCTTAATTCTTTTTAATACAAACAAAAGTCAATACATTATTTTATACAAGTACATACAATTAATAAGATAATTATATCGACATATTAACTTACGATACAATGTAAATATACATTTTTCTAAATAAATTAAATACAAAACTAATATTTTAGGAATAAACACATAATATTATCATATATTATATTCATGAGAAGCATTTATAATAACTTCACGGAGTAAAGGAAACCGCGAATAAAAATCATTGTAAAATGTCGGCTCAACATTTTGAAAAGTATAGATGTTTACATTATGTTTAAAAACACTAAATTTTTTTTCGATATTTTTTTGCTATGGCACGTTTAAGAGTCTAGGTAATAATATGTTCAACACACTTCATAGTATAAAAGACGAGTTACACAAAAATCATAGCATTTAAAAATTCAAGAATAGACAAGTTAAAAAGTTTATGATGAAAAAATAACATTACTATTATTAATTAATTATCAGAAAATCAATAGTGCGTTAAGTAATATTGTTTTTTTTTTTTTTTATAATTTTCTGAATAAAAACAACCTATGTATAATAAAAATTATTGGCACTATTTAATTCTGTTTTCGTTTATACATTTTCGGACTTTTGGACGATTTGTGTTTAAAATCTTGGTAACGATGCATATAATAATAATTTAAACTTACCTGACTTAACATAAAAATATTTAAACATTGAATACTAAGACTAACTTCTGGTACTATTATACACACAATATATCACAAACGCAACGTTGATTTTTTTCTCGTTTTTCTCTAAGCTTGTTAACTTTGGAATCTCCAAGGAGCCAAATCAAGTTCCGTCAAGATCTGTCTGCATGGGACCAAAGCGTTCCTGTGTCGGRATCAAAACAAAAAGTAATAAGAACCTTTGAATATGTAAAAATCATTTTCATCGCGATATGGCAGCTATAATACGATAGTACCAATACAACATTTCGAGTTGTGTGTGATTTGTATAAAAATTTACCCAACTAAAAAAATTACCGACCAAAATTGGTTAAATATAATTTTAATTTGCACGACGCACAGGCGGGTGGCATCTGCAGGGATTATAATAATTTTCACAACAAAATTAAAATCGATCCACGCGCGGTATCTATAAGCTCAATCAACTAGGTATTAGGTACCAATAACAAGTGTATAATAATATTCCTCGCTAAGAATCGAGTAATAATAATAGTAACAAGACGTAACAATAATCAAAAAATAATTTTGCTACTTTTACATTTTGGATGTACAAGGTACTTTTGATATTAAATTCCATTCGTTCGTCGTACTCGGGAAGTTTACAAATCGCGGTTGAATATAGAACGTGATTATGTTCTTAGCCTAAGTTCAMATATTACTATAGACACACCGACGCCTGCGTTAAACGCACATCAATACAAATACTTGCGAAGCTTTCGTGAAATGGCGTTTATTATAACGGCAGACTAAGTGTATGTACATCGATTTTAATTATGTTGGATATAAATCGCAATTCCATATGACATAGGGTAAAAGAAGGTATGTTCGTGATAATTTAACTAAAAGTTTAATTATAAATAAAATTTCGGTAATTATACTTAATTTWTTTAATTGTGTGATGTACAAAGAGTAAAGTGACTATAATATATTCAGTTTTTGAATTTTAAGTCGTCTGGTTAGTCTTTATAAAAGTTCAAAAGTCATTGAGAAAAGTTAGGTAGTTTGGTGATATG